TCGTATTATCAAAAAATAGTTGAAAAAGTCAATCAAAAATGTAAAATTGATAAAGTTAAAACCAAAGTTTCGTGTGAAAAGTGGAGGTCTTAAAGCCAGCCCTCACTCACTTAATACAGTGTGATTTTTCTTTTTAATCGTTGTATCTAATTGAACCTTAAAAAATAATGTTAACTAATATTATTTGTGACATAATACCAAATGACTAAAAAGGTAATAATGTTTTCATTCTCAATGTCATTTAATACAAATATAAAGAATTGATGGTGTTTATTGTTAATATAGATTTAACAATGTATTAACTTAAATATTTTATTCATTTTATTACTATTTTAATAATATACGCATTTAAAAAATTCAAAACTTTCAACAAATGCCCGGTTTTTTGAAAATTATTGTATAAATACAAAAGGAAGAAAAATTACTTGACAAAGAATAAATTGATTGACAAAAATATAATTGGCCTATATGCCCTAATTACAATTTTCTATCAGTTGTTTAAAGTTTATTTTTTGGGGAACTACCGCTATTTCTATTTTTATTATTAGAAATTACTTGACAAAGACTAAAAACAGCGTTTTATTTTATTATCGGCATTCTTAACAGCCTTCTTGGTAAATTGTGAATTCTAACCTTGTTTCATAAAAGCGTCATTTTTTCAGTTACGATTTTGTGAAAAATATTATAATAATTAAAAATAATTTAAAGTACTTTGGTCATTAGTCTTGCAATATTTTTGTAATTTTTTCTTGTGCACAATTTCATCCGTTCACTATAACTTTCAACTTACTTGTTAATATTTTTGATGTATTTTTTACAAACAACATGACACGCTATAAAATGTTTTCATTACTTGTATTTTCTATTTATTATTTATATTTCAAATATTACTACAAATGCTCAATTAGATTTAAGTCACAACTCGGAGATGGCCAATTTTAAATGATAAAACGTTTTTATTATTCAAAAACTAAAGTGTACAGTAAAAACTTTAAAGAGTGGGCTGGTGTGGTAATTATGTTTTTTTTCAAAAGTAAGCATTTTAAGCCAATCAAACCTTAATTACCGCTATTTAAAGAACTTTATTTTTAGTTTCGTTGAAAAGTACCATCTTTTGAGAGAATCTGCTTTTCAAAAGTACCGTTTTTAAAAAGTTTTACTGTATTTTGATTTGTGCACATTGGCGTTGTATTTCATATTTTTTTCCTTTTGATTACTTTTTAATTGTTTCATTTTTATTATTGTATTGCTTTTATAACGTTTTGATTATTATGGAGGTTTAATACTAAGTTGATTAAAATGTCAGTATATTGTATTGTTTTATAATTCCTATATTGATACATATCTTTATATTTTGCTTTTAATATATTATTGAGTCAATAGTTGTTTGATTTTGTCAAAATTTCTTCAGTTATCTAATTTATATCAACACATTTATCTTCAAAATAAATAGAAAGATACAACTTTTTAAGGTTATTTTTTTTTTGATAATCGATGTATTTTTCAAGTAAGTCATTCCAACAATAATTGTTTACAAACTGACACATCATGATATCATGAAGACTTGAAACTTTAACTTGTTATATTTTCTTCAAATTTGTTTATTTTATCATCTGTAATTAATTAAAATACCAAGTTAAAATTCAACTAAATTTAATGATCAACATATTTACTCGATATTAACAATTAATCGAATTACTTTATTAAATTAAACTAAATTACGTCAATCATATCTAAAATGTATTTTAATATAAATAATGAAATACATTTTACTCAATATTTTAATCGTAATAAAATTATGTGAAACTGTTGTTTTTATTTTTTAGTGTTAAAAATGATTTTCTTTGTTTCTAAAAATAGTAAAAATAGTGACGATTTTATGGATAAGGAAAAATAACAGGGAGATAAAATAAATTTCAAAATAATAAAGAGGGCATACACTTTTTTGTTTCAATTTAACATCAAAAAATTATATTTTTCATATAACCACATCTAATGAAAATATATAAAATTTAAATATCTTAGGTAAAAATTGCATTTTTTACCTCTAATTGAGGGCAATGACAAATTATTAAAAGAGTTTACATTATGCAAAATGGACCCAGTATTTTAAAAATGAATCTAAACCTTTAAAAAAACTAATGATTAGAAAATCTTCCATTGTAATTAATGTACACAAATTGTAAAACGACCAATCACTTTAACCCTCCAAAAAACCGAAATTTCCAAAATTGCCCATTCAATTTAAACCAATTTCATTTTTTTTTCAACATTTTTGTTTTTTTCCTCAATATTTTTTTGCGCCAAAACACTAATAAAGTACGGAAAATACAGATTCTTATAATTATGATATGTTGAACATTTTTTATTATAATTAATGTTAAAAACATTGTTTATAAAAATGTTTTTTTCATATGGGTTAAGTCTTTTCAAATTTACAATCAACGTGTAAAAAATAATACTTGTGACTTAAATTTTTTTAAATATCTTTAATCTAGGACTTCATGAAAATATTATACAACCGTCCAGGAATCTCTTAATATATATTGAATTGGTGAATTCTTATTATTTTATGAATATATTTTAACAATCAATAATGTAAATAACCACTTTACATGTTTAAATTTTCTACTATGACACAATTATAATAATTTTATGTTGTAATACCAATTAGTTAATGTTTTATTTCCCAACTTTTAAAATGTTATTCAGTTGTTTTTAAATAAAATTCTTAAAAAAACAATTCTAATTTATTTTTTTTATTGTATATTTTTTGTTTTCAAACACAATTTAATTGTAAATTTATTTATTTAGATCGGGGCAAACTTATTCCACCACCACCTCTAAAAATAGAGTATTTTTACTATTTGATATAATATTCAAATTAAAATTATAGTAAATAGGAAACTGGGAAGATATTAGGTCTGGTTCCAGAAATCAAGAAATGCCGACAATTCACCTCGAGTTAGTGGAAACCGAGAAAGACGGAGCATTGAAAAGAAGGCTCATAAAGACGCACTCAAACAGTCTGTTTGTGCACCGTTTCACCCACTTTCCAAGTCCTCCCTTGGCGCGGATCCCCCTGAAAGCGGGGGAACAACATCATTGTCCACACAGTACGGACAAGGAAAGTGGGTGACATGGGGACGCACAAACAGTGTCTGAAAGGTGGACTCCCTTCAAAAAACAATAGCGGCAAATATATTATTTTGGTAAACGGGGTGAGGGTGGGAAAGGACGGTTTTTTGAAAAAAAATTAAAATGTTTTTATTAATTTCATACTGTCAATAATTAAAAGGTTTTTTATTAATTACAAATATTTTCTTTATTGTGTAAAAAGTTAAAGTGTGTATTCCATTACACAATATCAAAAACAAAAAAAATCTAATATATTACCAATAAAATATTGAAAAATAGAAATTTTTTGTTTTAGTTGTTTTTTTAAGATAATGATTTTTTTCTACTAATTATTGTTGAAAAAAAACGATTTTATTTTTTTATTAAAGTCATTACTTTTTAATTAATAAATTTGTTGTTTATTAATTTGTTGGTTTGTATAATCAAATAAATTGTAATTACAATTTTGAATTAAATATTTGTCATTATATCTTTTTACGCCATTCATTTATTGTTTTTTATTTTTTTTATCATTACAATTAAATGAATTTTTCGTTGTTTGTTGCTATTTATACCATGTTTTATTTTCTTCAATTTGTGTAAAACTGATTACTATTAAAAACGTGTAAACTTTTTTAATAAAAATGGATATTAATAATTTAAAATATGAATAATTAATACACAAATTATTTTCTATTATTTGCACTACAAATAAAGTTGAATACAAAAAGCTTTTTTTGTATTTCAATTTAAATATTTACTTCACAAGTAAATTAATATTGTATTTTTTAAGTGTCTAAACAACTATAAGACACGTTTTAACTCACTATAAAGTTTAAACCTACAATTAATCAATCTAAATTATTAAAATGGAAAAAGAAAATATTTACCTTCGTTTAAAAGAACAACTTCTGTATATGAACGAATGTGTGGTATCACTTGAAACAGCCACCAATTGCTATTTAATGATACCATCAATTAAATTTCCAAATGGATATGATTGGAAAAATTTGGATGATGAAATAGAGAATTTGAAGAGTTTTCTCGAAAAAGAAAACCAATACGAAATAATGTGTTCTGTTTTTCAAAACAAATTACAGCAAGCTATGATGTCTTTTGAAGACTTAAATCTATTATTCAAAGAGACAAAAAATAGGTGTGACGATGAACTTTTTGAAACAAAAAATTTAAGGAATTTGGCTATAAAAATGTTATCTGAAAAAGAGGGATTAAAGTTTGAAAACGAGCTGAAAACAATGGAAACGAGGAAATTAATTCTAAGAGGGCAATTTGAAAGTTCAACTGAAAAAAACGAAAAAAGCTACACGTTAGAATTCAACAGTAATTTTAATAAAAATGAATATCAAAATCAAAATCATCTTTATTATTCTATTGATGAACTCAAAAAAACACCAAATGATGTATCATTAAAAGAAGTTAAAGAAAAACAACAATTGAAAACATTGAAAATGTTGTAAATTCAAAAATAAATAATCATGTTCGTCAAGATATTAACAACTGTGTGGACTTAAAAGAAGAAAATGCAAGAGAAGATAAATTTAATTATTCGTTTATAATCAAGAAAAGGGATACAATAGAAACTAATTTAACCAAAAAAGAAAATAAAAAAAACACTCCTGTCCCAAAATTAGAAATAAAAAATGATAAATTGGAATCGACTGATAAAACATTAGAAATACCCAAATTCCCAAAATTAAGTGATACTCTTAAAAAAGAAAAACAATCTGATTCAAATTCAAATACTATAAAATTGTCAAGAAATACTTTATCAAGTGAAATAAGTTTTCAAAATGGTATAAATAATTCACCAAAAACAACAAAAAAGTGTAAACCGAGAAGTGAAAATTATAAAGACGACTTTTTAAGTTCAATTGAAAAAGAACAAATAACAAAATGGAGTACTAAAAAGGTAAGTAAAGTCGTTTTTGATTCTTCATGTGAGGCGTATAAACGAGGAACAAATGGGTTTCTGAAAAGTGTTGCGTTGTGTCAAACTGGGTTTGTCATAGTGCTGGATGATAACAATAATAATCGATATGGTTGTTATATCTCAAAAAATATCGAAGAAACAGAAAAATTTGTTTGTGATGAAAATGCGTTTATATTCACATTAAAAGATAATTCCCAAGAAAAATATAATAAATATGATATTAAAAAGAACTACGCTAAAAATGCAATTTTTATTGGAAAACAAATGAATAGAACAAGATTCGACGTGGGAAACGGCGATTTCAAAATGACAACTTCGAAAACATGGTCGGTAGTTTGTAGGTGCAAACAAAATTCTTTTGATTATAAAGGTTCATCCAAAACATTGAATGGTGTAGAACCAACCAAAAACGTTGATTTTAAAAGATTTGTCGTGTATGAAATGATAGAATAGTTCGTTATCATTTTATTTGTTTATTGTAAATTATAAATAATATCAATGACTGTGATATTTATTAAAAACTAAAGTGTCTTTGTTTAAAATAACATAGATTTAACATTAAATTTTTCGATACTACAAAATATTATATCAATTAATATTTATTTTTTTTTGATTTTCATTTATATAATATCTTTAAAAAAACGAAAAGAAAAATAATAAAACAAAATTACAATATTTCATTTTATACAACAAACTTTATATGACATTTTAAGTCTAACATTCTATTTTTGACAAACCATCATTTATTATTTATTTTCAATGTTTTTATTAAAATACCATTGAATAAGTTTTATTATAACTTAAACAGTCCTCCAAGCTCTTTGGAAATAACCCTTTTTATGAGAAAGTTTTTTTCATTATTTCTTTTATAAAAACTAGAAATAAATTATTAATATTATTTACATTTTCTTTATTTACCGCATCTCAATCAGCACTTTTTAAAATTTGTTTAATAATTTACTGTTTAGAATAAAATTATTATGTTTAAATCAACTATATTTATTAACATAATAAGAAGAGCAACTGAATGTATTAAGAATTAACATGAATTTATTAGTTTAATCTGACCATTGACTTATTCAAACAAAGTTTGTCTTCATACAATTTGCAATTCAGAAAGCAATTTTTTCCAACTAATACCTTCTCATATAATCCGTTTATTTCCTCGAGTTTTCTACAATTAGCAAAACAGAACTTTCCGAATATTTGTGTCTTTTTTGTTATTTCAACTTTCTTCAGATTTATACAATAAAAGAAACATTTCTGTTCGAGATAAGTCACACCACTTGGAATTGCAATGCTTCTTATATTTTTACAGCACACAAAGCAACTTTCTCCAACATTTTTTAACTGCGCAGAAAGACTAATTTCCATCAGAGAAAGACACTCCCCAAAACACAGATTTCCAATTTTAGTGACTCCACTTGGGATGATAATTTCAACAAGACTTTTACACTGATTGAAACAACTGTTTCCAAGTTCAATTATATTTTCTGATAATTTGACGTGTTTTAAAGCAGAACATTGATAAAAGAGGTTATTACTAACACGAACTATATTTGCCAACAAATACACAGAAGACAATTGAGTGCACAAAGAAAAACAAGACTTTCCAATTTGAGTGACGTTTTCTGGTATTTCTAATTTCAAAAATTTACACCGAGAAAATGCTGAGTTTCCAAACGACAACTCACAAATTTTTTCTTCGTCAAAATGCAATTTGGCGAGTTCAACACACCAACAAAACGCGCCTTCTTCTATTGTTCTGACATTTTGAGGAATTTCCAATTCTGTGAGTGAAGTGCAACTGAAGAAAGAGAAGTACCCAATGCGTTCAATTGATTTTGGCATTTCAATGCGCTTCAATGCTGTGAAGTAGTTGAAACAATACGTTCCAATACAACGAAGAGTAGTTGGAATAATGAGTGAAGTAAATTCATGCACTCTACATACTCTTTCAAGTGTTTTAATTTGACTGGGTATATCGAGAAACACACTTTGTGGATATTCAGTGTTCGTTACAGATGACATAGTAAACGTTGATAATATATTCACCTCTTTTGGAATTTCAAAGTTTCGTTTGTTTGAATTATAACGGACGACTTTGAAATCTTTGTTCGTGTTTTTGTGAAGTAAAAAGAATTCATAGTCGACGGGATACCAAACTACTATTTTGTAAAATTGGACTTTTGTGTGTAAATCTTGAGTATTTTGTGACGCGAAATTACCAAAAGATTCATCACCCGTTGACCATAAATTTAGTGTTTCTATGTTGGTAAAATACTTTAATGTCTTTATAGTCAAGGGTATTGGGTTGAAGTGGAACTTTACCGTATTATTTTTAAACTTCTTACAGACCAGTTCTAAATTAATGAAGTCACTCATTGATAAAAAATATTGGGATATTACCATCATGTGATACCCATCTATGCATCTCATTTTTAATTTTTGGTGATGGTATTTATTAGATTTTTAAATGATTTTTTAAAATAGGTTGAATTCGTTTATTTGAAAATAAATTTATAATTTGGTTAGAAATTGATTATTTAAATTTATTTAAATTGTTGTTTATTTTATTGTTTTATTATTTAATCAATACGATATCGGTTAACAAATATGTGTGATAATTAAAAAGTAATCAAAATACATATTACAAATTGAGTATTCACATATAATTGGGCCATCAAACCTTCGCCAAGCAAACGAACTTTAGCCCAAAGAAAACTAATTGTTTTTTATTGTTATATTAAACTAATAAATTATTCACATATTAAAACCAATTTTATAAAATATTTGTTTTTTTATTAAAAACTGATGTTTTTAAAGAAAAAAAATAAGTACATTTGCTGGGCAAAGGTTAATTTACCTTTTTGTACTACTATAAACTTGTTTATGATATGTTAATAACCATTAAAATAAAAGAAAATGATAAACAAGTTTTTATTAATTTATTATGAACATGTTTCAAATATCACATAAACTAATAGAAAAAAATTAAAGAAATACATTTCAGTTATATTTATTAAAAAATCAAATTGGATTTATAATTAAAAGATTAACACTTTCACAACCCAAAACTTTTTTTAAGAAGAAAAAATAAAAAAATTGTTCAAATCATTTTTTATTATTTTTATTCCAAAACCCCTTTCTAACCCAAACTGGCCAATAGTCAGTTTTATTTTACTTAAAATAATTAACAAATGAGAACTCAATTACCTAAGATTTATCAAAAATAATCTTTTTGGACGAAATTTCATATCGCTTTATTGTGTTACAACGTTTAATAATATACGCAACATCATCAATCCACTTCATAACAAACAATGTCAAATAGTCACATTAATATAATA